CTAAACAATGCCAGCTTTCCGCGGTAGTTGTGTCCTGTGGCCAGTTCATAGCTTGTACGACCAACTTTATCCAGAACACGAAACCTGTTGACCAGGAATGAGGCATAGCGGAATGACCACGGCAACATGTGGAAGTTGCCGGCTATCTGGATGTAGGCCTTGCTCTCAGCAAATGAACGGAGACGATTTGCCAGCTTTCGGATGGTTTGTACTCCTCGTTCAGCTTGTCCATTGGATTCATGTTGTCCACTGCCGGTCAACCTGATCTCACATGGCAAACCCATCACCGATCTTACCTGCTGGACTGTCCTGAGGATCTGTCTCATAGCCCTCTCTGAGTCACCTTGAAATACACATGGGTCACGGGATGAGTTCTCCAACGAAAATCTGATGACCTCCTCTGTCACTGTTTTGAGACTTGCTGTTCCTTTCGAAGGGACTGGCACAACGTGGATTGCCTTGGTCTCAGACGAAGCCATAATGAGACACGTCCCAAATTGGTCTGATCTCTCGGCGACCTTGTCTGGCGGCTTGTCATCCAATCGTCGATCCTCACCTGTGTAGGTGAAGAAGAAGTCCAGCTGTAAAAGCTTACTGTAAAGACCGGGATGGTCATCACGATCTTGGAAGCAGGTGGACCCAGAATGGCCACACCCCCACACGGCGTTTGCGCCCTACCACTGACCTGGATGAACCCTGGCAGGAGTCCCCCAAAGGAGACAGTGTAACCAGCTTTATCACATTTCGTCCCATGTCAACCTTCTCATCTCTTGCCTCATGCTTGTCTTCCTTTGCACGGCTTGCAACACAAGCTTGACACCATGGGGCGTAAGGAATGTGTGTCACGAAGTGTGTCTCTTGCTCCTTCATCGTTGGCAGCTTTGGTTGCCCCAGAGTCATAGGCTTCCTCTGCTGCTCTTGGAACAACTTGTTGGCTATAGAAAGCTTCAGCTTGTTCCCGATGTTGATCTTGAAGGCCAACAACCTGTCGAGCAGTCTCCTTTTGCTTCCTGTGTAGGGTAGCTCACGTTCCTTTCCTTGACTGACATCTTCTCTGTATAGATCACCTCATCGAGTTCAATCTCATTGGGTCTGTCAGCCACCACCATCTTCTCTATGTCTTGTGCTTCCAGTTGCATCTCGAGTTCCTCCTCCTCTTCTCTCTCATCCTCTAACCAATCAAGTCGACCTTGTGGCGCTCTTGTCTTCTCCTCCGGATAAGGCCTGATAGGAACCTCAGAAAACTCGGGCCTAGATGGTTTCGGTTTGTGCGTGTCATCCTGTGTGAATGGATGTCTTCATCTACGTTTCATCTAGTTCAATCGTATTATGCAAATCATGTTTTTTATTCAAAGTGATTTGCTCGCTCTTCGGCAGAAGCTGTCGCTTGAACTCACTTTTTCAGACCGAAGACCAGCCGGGCTTTGTTGTCTCACCTGGAGACTTTTGTCTTCAGCTTCTTTTCGTCACACAAGAGTGTCCCACAAGAGTAACAAACACGAGTGTCCCACAAGAGTGCTCCGCAAGAGAGTCCCACAAGAATGTCTTACAAGAGTGTGCCACAAGAGGGTCCCACAAGTGTCCCACAAGAGTGTCCCACGAGAGTGTCCTACAAGAGTGTTCTACAAGAGTGCCCCGGGTGATGTTGGGCCTAACCCGCATGCAGCGCATGCGCGCTTGGAGGGGAAACACTTTGGAGACGCCAAAACCTTAGTGCCACCTCATCGAAACAGCCTTCAGCGGCTTTGCGAACGCACCCTGCCAAGTCGAAGGTCTCTTCCCTTGGCCAGTCGACGCGTCTAAGCGAGCCCCAGCACATGTCCAAGCGAGCCCTGCCAACCGTCAACCGGCAAGGCATGTTTCCTCTGAAACGCCTCCCCCTGTCCATCGCCGTCGGCGGATTGGCACCAGTGGGATCAAGTTGGTGCCCCTGCAGTGATCGTCAGGCATCTCTCGACAAGTTTGTTCTACAGTCGACAAGTTTGTCGGCAAGAAAGTCTGGAAGGGGTGGGATTTGCTTGTGTTTGTTTGTTTCTATGGAAAAGCCAGAGCTCCACTGGCATGTAAAACCACCATGTTCTGCAAGTATTGATGGCGAACTCGATGTCGCACTTCTTCCGCCGTGGCGCGGGCAGTATTGTTGAGCTCTGTTGAGTGCAGGCTCAAGTGTGCTTAGCCATGGAGATGCCGGATTGACGTGTAGGGGAAGGAACATGAAGTAACTCTTGATTTTCCACCTGTTTTGTTTGTTTGTTTGTTTGTTTGGTTTGTTTGTTTGTTTGGTTTGTTTGTTTGTTTGTTTGTTTTTTGGTTTGGTTTGGTTTGGTTTGGTTTGTTTGTTTGTTTGTTTGGTTGGTTGGTTGGTTTGTTTGTTTGTTTGTTTGTTTTGTTTTGCTTGTTTAGGCGGCTTTTGATCTTTTGCCCTTGGAAACGAGTGCCTCATCGCCGTTTTTTTTCCGTTTGGGCAGTATTGACATGGTGACATTCTGGTGGATGGTCCTCCTTCTTTTCAGTTTTCATCCACTGCCATGTTTGGTCGACTCAGTCTCTCTGCCTGATGAGCAAAGTCACGTGTAAAAACAGGTGGCGGCAATTTGGCTAGACATCCTTCAAAGACAGAGGCTTCAAGTGCATTTGAGCCTTTCATTGTTTGCGAAAAAATAATGCGTACAATAACTTTTACTATGCAATAACTTTCACTAGAACTCAAATTGTGTGGATGATCGTGTTTGCTCCAGTGACTGCTTGCAGCTACACCTCTGTGTTGACCGTGACCGGCAAGTTCGCAACATAAGATTTTGTTTGAAAGTGGACACTGTCTCAGGTACTGCATTGCGTATGCATTCAAACCCAAACCAACCCAAACACGCCTCCATTTTCAAAGTTGTTTTGAAAGTCTGAACAAAACACAAATTCTTGAAGAGGCCTGCAGCAGATACCTTGAAGAAACACATTGATATGGTACAGGAAGACCGATGGATGCGGTCAGTAAGTATTAAACATGCACATGATGCATTTTAGATTAAGCAACAAAACTAGCATTATGTCAATATCCACTGTGCAGGGAACCAAGCTTCCACAAACGCTTTCAAAGTTACGCTCAAAGTCAAACCTAGCAATACTCGAGTAACATTGGGGTTTTACTTCAGCTTGTTTTGTTCGTCGTGAGGCCCTCCATTCAGTTCATTCCTGTCATGTATCAGCGAAGCAAGCTTGTGGCGATTTATGAGCGGTTTGTAGATTGAATCCTGTTGACGATGTACATGTTTTACTTTTCAACATTATTTCATTTCTACTTATCCTTTGGAGGCTCCTCCCCAATTGACATGAAGTGCCAGTGGGGGGAATTCAATCGATTGGCCACTGCGAGCCTCAAAACTTTCACCCGCCATGGGCTCGAAGATTAAGATGGCTCAGCAAGTTGACCGGCCCTTTGTCATGAAGACCCGTGCCATTCGTCAATCCTTCATTTCGCGACATACCCCCTCGAAATGCTTCGAATGAGCTGCCTCATGTGGTTTCGGTGAAACGTTTTTTGCTGCCAAAAGTTCGTTTGCTGATCCTTGGCTTTGATGCGCTTCTCAAAATTGGTTTTCCATTCAAAGGATGCATCACAGATGATCACTGTTCACAGAACAATGAATTCATTGAGATGCAAGCGATGCAAATGATGCCCCACAGGAAAGAGACACAGCTAGCATCAGCTAAAAACTGCGCCCACAAAGAATTGAACCGGTTATGACCGGTGAAGCACCGTCAAAATCAATTGTTGCACACATTTCAAGTACTGTAATTGATGCAACAATGAAGATCTCAAGTGAAGTTGTCAGTTTGGCCCAAACAGTTTTTACACATTTTGACAGCTCCCCATTTCTATTTGCATCCCAAAGCCCTTCGACACACCTGCGCATGAAGGAGCGTCCGGTCGCGTCCAGTCGCGCTGGTGACTTGTTGAGTTTGGAGACTTGCTGAGTTTGGAGAGGACAAATACAATGCATCTTCTCCAGGGCAATACTTGCTCAGTCACCTTCTCTACAGGACCTTTTCTTTTGTTTGGTCCCGATGTCTTGTCGATGAGGGGCCCAGTAGAGGGTCTCGTTCCAGAAAACGAAACCAAGCCCACGGAGGCCCAGGCTGCCAGATCCGGAGCTGAAGGAGGAGGGGGATGCAGATGGGCCTTGAGAATCGCCTGGCACAACACATCGAAAAAGAAACATCGAGGTGAGAAGCAACTCTTCGAGCACTCAATTCTCAGAAGAGAAACAACAGGTGGTGGTGGTCTTGGCAACTGAAAGAAGGTTTGGTAGCATGGCAACAAGTGAAAAAGGCATAGTAGTGAGAAGATTATATCAGATATAAACAAACATTGATCTCAGGCTGGACTCGACTGTGCCAGTCTCTAAGAAAACTCCCATTAATTTTCTTGCTGCTTCTTTTGTAAGAAAGTGATACCTCGACTTGGTAGCACAATGCTTGGGGTGACAGAGAGCTCATTTTTTCAAATGAACACCCTGAGCGGTCATGTTTGACTTTCTTTCTATGTGTCCGGAAAGTCCGCAAGTGGTCGTGCGCAAGCGTCATACCGTCATACCTGTTCAAACTCCATTAAAACGAGGATAAGCACACACCTTTGCCACGCGTCAAACAACATTACCAGCCATCGTTGAACTACAAACTTGTTCCAGAAAAGCAGAACAGCACGCAAACTTCTTTTTGTTGGTGTGTCAGTGCTAGTGCCCGTGAATCCATGTATGTTTCAACCGTATTGAAATGCTAGTGATGCTAATAGATAAACATTATTTTTTTAACATTTTGAGCATGTAACATGCAACACACACACACATATGCAATATTTGCGTATGAGGATGAACTGCGAATTGGATTGGAACAAAAGGATGAATGCCGCGCACATATAACATGCAAGCGTCGTGTTTTTTGGCTCAAACCTCTTGAGAGATAAACCCGAATAAACTGATCAAGTTCATGCAGCCTTTAAGCAACTTTTTAAGGATACTACAGGCACTCATTATTTGAAGATGTACCGAGGGTGTTCTTTTCAAACCTTTCCAATGCCTGTTCTGTGACATGTCGAAACGCCTCAAGGGCGAGAGTTCCAACTGGAAGTTGTTGGAGGCTGCAGTGAAGGAACGTGAGCGTATTGTGGGGAGCTTGAGACAAGAGCTTGCGCATTTGGAGGATTTGACCGGCCAGACAGTGGCCGCCTTATCCAGCCATGCTGCCCGATCCTGGATGTCGGATCCCATAGTGACCTCGCCGCCGAGTATGTCACCTCCCAGTGTTTCGCCCAGCCACGCGGTGTTTGCAGCGCGTCACGTGATGTCACCATCACCGCCGTTGATGATCCATCCGCCAAGTCGACTGACGAATCCGGAGCAGAATCCTCAACCTTTGAGGTCGCGCTCAAGTCCTCAGCTGAGGTTGGAGAACGCTCAGTCTCCACCAACCCAATACCCTAAACCACGCACAGCTCGCGGCAGTGCAGGCCCTTCGGGCATGTCGGCTTCTGGTGCAAATGCTGCAGTTGGTGCAACAAAGCTGCAACAGGGCCACTTCATAAGTCCTTCTTGGCCTCAAACCTTGCTGAAAGGAAATCCGAAAGAACCGGTACAAACCCCGCCGCTGCCACGACCTTTGGTTCGTCTGTAGTGCTGCCAAAGTGCGGCTCCCAAGGGCGGTCGATGCGCCCGAAGAAGGCGGCCGATGCGCCCGGAGGAGGCTCCGAGGAGCCGCCGTGTCCAAGCTGAAAAAAGGTGAGTCTTTTTGTTTGTAGTCATTAAGTGAAACGACTGCTTTTGCACAAAAGTGGCAGCCTGCACTTGGCCACTTCTTGGCCATGGAGACAAAGACAGAATCCAAAGAGAGCATGGTCCAATGGCCAAGCATCAGAAATGAACCGAAGCATCAGTCTCTTTGATAGCAGGGGATTGATGAAAGGTTGGAGTCCGACAGCCTTGGAGCGTGTCCGAAACAAAACCTCATTCGGCTTCTTAGACACACGGCAGCTTTGGCATTTCTTGCTTGGTAGACGAGCTGTTGGCATTGTTGTGGAACACACGCGGCATTGCTGACATCGTTGCTATGCGAGCGATTTCAGACGTCCATGGAGGAGAGATGGTGGAGCCGAGTTTTGCTCGCCGCTTTGGGATGGGGATCATGGTGACAGGGCTTTTGGCTTTGGGAGCCCAACACCATGTTTGTTGAGACAAGGTAAACAAACATGGAAGGCTATGAGAGAGTCATTTTCTTGCAAAGGTTGTGCCGCAATGCCTTTCCCTCTGTAGGAGAGTGTTCGGCGGTGTTTCAAGTTGCACGTGGAGTCTCCAGCATTAGCAATCTCAAAAAACTCCTCAACTCGCCCCAGCAGCCCATTCAAGTGCGTCAGAACATGTGTGATTGTTTTGATTCCTTTTTCTCCATTCATGAAATTCATGGTTCATGTTTTCACTCCAAGTGACTCGAAGGACGATGAAGAAGCAGCTGCCTGGGTGTGCTCCTCAGCATTTCGACGACTTTGCCAGCGTTGCGCGCAGTGAGTGGAGAAGACCTTGAGGCGGCGTTGCGCGCAGCGTTTGGAGAAGATCCAGAGGAAGCCAGGACATCCCCGCCCGTCGCGCGACGTGCGACGTGGATCCACGCCCGTCGTCACGCAGCGTGGATCACGTGTCGTGCCGCGGGGCGAGACGAACGGGGTTAGGTCTACACCCAGCGTTCGCTCACGGTCAGTGGGGGGGTGCGAGCGTGCTCTCCCAAATGGTTCCCATGTTGCCTGGCAGACACTCGTTGACCTTTGGCTCGGCCCCTATCCGTCAGATCCATCACCGATCTGTCTTGGCCGCTTTTGGGAGTTTTGGGCGCGGCTTGCTGCCATCAAGTTGCAAGTCTCTTTGGACCAGAAAACCAGCAGGAGTATTTCGAAGGAAACTCACAGGAACATCAATCGAGCATTGGGTGTTTTGGGAGTTTTGCGCCACCCCAACTAGAACTCCTGTGACAGCGGGATTCCACTTTTTGTTTGGATCTCTTCCCTGAAGAGCAGTGCACGCACAGGACGGTGAAGAAGCCAAGGGTCTGAGCCTGAGATGGCCAGGGCCAGGTGGTTCACTTGCTTTTTCCTGTCACCACTTCGAACACCTTGCTCTATGCATTTTCTAGATCTTTGTACAGCCTGCCGAGCTGGAACAAAGGTTGAGCCGACCACTGAAAACAGTCCGAGGTGGGCAGTGCTTGAGATGCACATTGGACATGTCTGACATGACCCTACACGTGTGTGTGTTCTTGGTCGAAAGAGGCACCAAAAAGCCACACATAGAGTGGTTGAAGGCAGTTGAAGGTGTCTGAATAGCAGGGAAGTGGGCTTGATCCCCATTTCCTTGGAGTAGACTCTTTGGCATGGGGATCACAGGCACCCCAACCGCGCTGGGTCGGAAGGTTGTCCGATCGGACCGGACCACCCCTCCCTGGGCTGCTCGGGACGGCGCTCCTCCGCGCGAGCGGGCGCCAGGAAGGCGCCGCCGAAGCGCTCCGACTCGACCGACGACTGGCTGCAGGGCGAGGCGCCGCTTCCGGCGGACGTGGTGACGGTGTTCGTCCGGGGGGCGTCAGGTGGATCGGCTGGTGGGGGAGATCCAGCGATTGGCCAAGCAGCCTTTGCCTACGGAGCTGCAGCGAGGCTCAGATGAGAGGCATCAGAGGTTGTGAAAGGCTTCGGAGATGTTTGTGGAGATGGTGATGATCACCAGATTGGCAGGTTTGGGATTGAGAGAAGTGCTGAAGCAGCACTCACTAGTTCGGTCTCAAGGCTAAGTTGCATGGAGGTCAGGTTCCCTTCTGCCCCACTTTTTGACCATGCTTCGTGTCCACGAGACCATCAAGCTGAGGTTGAATGCTGTGTGGAAACTGCCATTGGAGCAGCAGCATGACGTGTCCAGTACTCAGGTGTTGCGGTTCTCAGCATGGAACAACACTGCACAGGCACCAACACGACAGAGGGTTGTGCTATGTTACTCCGAACCTTTCCAAGGGAAGACTCCGCAGGATTCGTAGACGATTCGCCTTCCCAAACGAAGTATACGCGCTCTTCATGCCCCTCCAATGCTGTGAAGCGCCTACTGGTGCGCGCCCCGCGTGGCACCAGGCTCCTGGGCACCAGGGAGCTTCTCCACGGGAACTGTGCCGGCGGGCGAGCGCGCGGGGGGCTTCCACGCGGTGCGGAGCGATCACAGGGTGGGTCCCACGGGGGTGTGAAGACCTTCACGGTAGGCTCTTGAAGCTTCTAAGAAGATTGGTGTCTTGAATCTGCACATGGCATGATGATGCGTGAGAAAGACTTACACACACTTCTCTTCTTCTCCAACACACCCATCTCGGCATTTTCCGCTTGGAACTCCGAAGCCTCCCAGAAAATGGATCCACAAGCCTCAGCTCTGCAAGCGAGGAAGCTCCGACCGGTTCGGGTCTTCCAGCTCCAGGTGTGAACTCTACCGGACGAGTCTGGCATTTCCTCGCCACCGAGGCCGAGTTTGTGCGCTCCTGCTAAGACGACGGGCGCAAACTCCTGAAAAACCGGGCGATCTTGAAGAATGGATTCTTTCATGGATAGACTCCTTCATGGTGGAAGACCCAAAAATGAACACCCCAAAGGTACTGTAGACTCTTGATCAATCATCTACCTCCTCAGCCTCCGTGCTTCGCCTCCCACCGGCCCCCGTTTGCGCGAGCACGCGGCCCGGGCAGGTGCGGGATCGAGGAGTAGAGGCCACGGGAGACGGGAGGAATAGAGGCTCTTTGGAGCCCTCTGAACAAGAAAAATGGTAGAAGTGCAGGGTGGTTTTGGGTTTGGTTTGTTTTGCATCCCTCTTTTTTTTTGGGCCTTTTCCGCGTGGGCCACGGCCATGTTCCCAGTTTCTGTTGGACCCGACGCCCGCGATGACCTGCGCGACCTCTGGCCACGTGCTCCTGTCTGGCACCGAAGATCACCCCCGCGACGAGTGAGTTCAAGCAACCTGGGAGCTGCTTTTGTTGTGGTTGTTTTCCTATTTTTTTCATCCTGATTTTTTGTTTCCCACTCCATCCACCGACCTCTAGTCTCAACAGGAGTGGGACCGGTGAGAGTGTGCGAAGCAAAGGAGACAGGTGAGGGCTTGCGACAGAGAGACGCACCGAGCGGAGAGCCGAGCCGAGCCATCGCCAGTTGCCGAGCTTTTCGTCCATTCCGCGTGGACACCGAGCTGACCCCTTCGTCGGGATGAGCGCGCTCTGGATCTCAAGGGGGGAGGAGCGATGGTTGCAGGATATTGGAAGGTTGGCCAAGTACCAAGATCAAAAAGAAGATATACAGCGAACGCTTTACGCGGATGTTTCTTTAACCTTTGACACATCCTGCCCAACCAAAACGACATTCTTTTCAGAAACGGCCTGGACTGTCCAGGTAGGTTTACTCCAGGTGGGTTCATGGGCGGATTGGATGATCCGTGGTCCGGTGATTTTGGGTCGACCTGCATCGACCTGCATCGACCCAGGCCAATGAGCGGGGGTTCGCTTAGAGGTCCCAGAGGCTGGGGAAACACGCTGTTGGCCCGCTCGAACGTGGGTTGCGCAGGTTGTTCCCACCGAGACCTTCGTCCTTTTGTATTTTTTTTGGGCAAAGATGGTGGTGGTTCTAAACATTCTTTTCCTTTTTTGCGCTGATAATCAGAGTGGCTTAGGAGAGGTTCACCGCTTTGCTTTGTGAAGAGTTTTTCGGGTTGTTATTCCTTCTTGACCCGACGAGCCTGAAAGTGTGTGTGGACGGATCTGTGGAGTGTTTCGTCGTTTCTTTGGAGCTTACGTTCAGAGTGGGTTTCCAACATGACAAATAGAGACAGGATTCTGATCGATGATGGTTGGTGTCTAGTCATCCTACCAGTTGGTTGATATGCCAGAAATAGGGGAAGATTTCTGTCCCGACCAGCCCTTTACATAAGGCGCTGGGCTTTAGATGCCGTGTTTCAATATTCAAAGACATCAGAGTTTGGAGAGGTACAGTAGTGTTGTTGGTGTTGTTTGGAAGCAATACTTTATTGTATCATCTGGGTTTGCAACAAGAGAGCCCCCCAAACCCCCAAAGGCTCTCTTTTCGATCTTTTTACCCCGCAGGTGGAAGGCCGCGGTCGCGGTCGCCGTCGATCTGATGGAGCGTGCAGTGGTAGTGAGATTGTTTGACCATTTACTTTAAAGAAGCAAAGAACTTCTTGACACAAAACATGCCAGCGACCAAAAATAGTACGAGCTGACCTTGTCGAGCTGACCTATCATCATGGGTGGGTTTGGTGGTGGATTCCTGTCGCAACTGTGAGGAGATCACACATGTTGGAATTCCTGAAACCCACTCCTCGGTGGGCTCGAAGCCTCCGGTCCGACCTCACGGGAGATCGTGTTACACGGTGCCGCCTGTGCCGTTTTGGCTTGGTGAGCTGAACGTACATATTCCCTGCTGGAAACACCTCGGCATCTTGGCAAGCAATAACAAGCTGGAAGGTCCAGATGGTCGCTTTGCACAGTTCAAGTCACAGGTCCAGATGGTCGTTTTTGCTTTTGCAACGCTGCACCTCGCGAGGCGGGTACGTCTTTCCCTACGCCATCTTCTGGGGCTTCTTGGATGAGTTAGGCAATTTCCGCAGGACTTTGTGCGAAATGGAGTTCCGACTCAGGTTGATCATGGTTGATCAACAGATTGATGCACTTGTAAGTCTGTGCATTGAAGCAGACATGCCCGAAGCCTTGTAGGTTGGCAGTCCCACAATTTCGCCAGTGCAATGGTGCATTTTCGCCGGCCACTGAGCTGTGTTCGATATCAAAACACTCAATTCAAGTTGATCTCTGAAGGATATCTCATGCATTTCCTCTCGATTCTGTGGATTCGATCCCAGACGGGACCTGGGACACATGCGCCCTCACAGCTTCGCTATTTGCGAGGAATACTTCTCGCCCTGTTTGCCCAGTCACTGGGACGAAAGAGCCAGTCGAAGCCTCAGCGATGCAGGGTGGTCTTAAGACTCTGTGGGTTACTATGCTCTATCCATGGTCTATGCCCCTTGTATCCATTGATGGTTTTGAAGATGTTCTTAGATCCATTCGGAGCTCGAACCGTCCACAACAGCTTAGAACATCTTAGATCCATTCCGAGCTCCCATCCACAACAGCAGCTTCAATGTGGTGAGGCTCGGGCTGACTTGCGGCAACACGGGTGCATGTGACGTCGCAGCCTCTGGAGAACGGTGCAGATGACTGAACGGTCGCCGAATCGCCGGTCCACCGGAGTCCACCCGACCGAATCTCAACCAGACCGAAGCAAACTTCGACAACCGGACTGCGCTTCTGAAGAGATGTTGCCGTGCGAGCAACTGGTGGTGGTGTATGGGATTCAGTCGGCAGGTTCAGCCAATTCCCTAGTTTACCACATCATAGAATGTGACATAGAATGTGACTTCATGCATCCAAAAAGAGATCCAAAGAGATACGACCCAAGGCCTAAGCCTTTTCAGTGACCATCGAATTGGTCAGAACGGGGACCGTCGTAGCAAGTCGGACCGACCGATGACCGGGACCTCCACCCGGTCGAACCGGCCGTGGGGACGCGGACGAGCTGCGCTGAGGAGTTCGAAGTGGAACTCGCAGAAGAGGAGTTGGCTGCAGAGATGCAGGCGCTGAGCTGACTGGGTGTGGTTTTTGAAAGAGTGAGGCATGGGGCATGGGACGGCATGGGAGCTTGGTGTTTGATTCTAGACACTTTTGTTCTGCTTGGGTGGAGTTGGTCTGGGTTGGTTGGATCAAAAGGCGCTGGATTGGGTGCGTACTTCGACGTCTTGGAAGGGCTTTTTTGTTTTTGAATTTCGATCAGATCCTTCTGCCTGGACTGCGTCCGGGTCATGGCTCCTGGAGCCCCGAACTCACCCAGCGTAGTTCTGTTCACTGATTTCGTGGAAAAAAAGCAGGGTGTCCCGGTGATATGACCCACATCCATGGAAGAAACATGGAACATGTTTGGCCTTGCCGGCCTTGACAGGTAGAACTTTTGCAGAGGATGCCTATGGACATTCGCCTGGCGGGTGAGACTGCCTAGCACTCAGAAGACGACTTACTTCGTGCAGGTGAGACGGTCTGATGATGTTCAGCGACAGTGAAAGCGGGTAGAGACCACTTCGAGAGCCCCACAACAACCTGGAGGATTCAAGAAGTTGAATTGAAGAACATGCAGATGTCCCAAGAACATCCGAGACACCGACGACCAGAGACAACCAGAAAAAGAACCTTGAGCAGTTCTGGATTCTGGACTGGAATGTCTGAGGCGGCGAATGCGACGAAGTCATGCCTTCTGGATCATTTGGCGTGAAGCTTAAGGGACGGATCGCCGATCCGTTCGGCCCCTCTCGTACGGATCGCCGATGTTTTCGCACCAAAGGCCAACAAACCAAGCATCAGATGACGCAACAGATGACGCAACTGCTCAGTTAGTTAGTGGCCACAGACGGGGAATCCATAGATTTCTGGGTCCTCTCGACCCAATGACCACCCTGGGCGGTTTCCGCCTCGCCCAGAGCGCCGAACGGCCCGAGCCCGCGAGCCGCAAAGACGCCAGCCGCGACCAGGTCGGGTCCTGGCACGTACAGGCGGGGTTGTTGGGTGCTGTGTCCAAGAGAAACCACAGACCCGGGTGGGGGGGGTTCATCAGACTTTTGGGACATTGCTTGCAGGATGAGGAGGAGTACCTTGGTGCTTTCCTTTTTTTCTTGGTTGGAAAGGACTGCTGTGGATGAGTCCAACAGCAGACTGCATCAATCCATCTAAAGCACCACCCGTTTTTTTCTTTTTCTTCGGATCGGAAGACCTACTCTGAATTGAATGGGGTTTCGGACGGCGAGAGTCGCGGGGTCTCAGTAGGATCATACCTCGCGCGGTGGTGAGGTCCGTGTCCGTGCGGTTTGGCTGTTGTAGTTGCAGGAAACTAAAATCAAGAGAAGGGGGGTCATCACCAAGTTCTAGGATGGAGAGTGCTTCTTTTTCTTCAAGACCTCACTGACCTCACTTTCCACGATATTGGACATCCCTCATGCATGTGGGGGGGTTCCAAGTTGACGTCCTGGCCAATCAAGTTGTTCAGCTTGTGTGGATGTCAACGGGCCGTTGTTGGGATGGTTGTTCAATAGATTTACTGTAATCGATCTTAATGGCTGCCTTCGAACCAAGTAAGTGAGTGATGACTCGGTGATCTACTTGAGTTTCGGTGCTCCAGGAGACGACCCTCTTTGAACCCGAGCCACCCCCACCCACCCCCCCTCTCGGTCAAACATATGGGATCCTCCTTGCAAACACCGAGCCCACCGAGCGAACAACCGCCGGTCAAACCCCACGAAAGGTCACCCCCCAAACACCACGGGTCCAGCCGTGACGAACTCGTCCGGGCGGGCTTCCGCCAGAATGCTTTGGGCATCGATGGGGTGACTGTCTTGCTGCAAGTCGAGAGGCGTGGCGAACGGGCGCCGCGTGGCGCGCGCGTGGCGCGTGTGGCGCGTGCAGGGCCCCGTGGCCACCGGGTGTCTATCTCTCACCGAGGAGACTGTCGGCCGTGATCCACCCAAAACCCAGGACCGTCGCTAGATGGATCCATTGGATGCTGGAGAACGAGAAGGGAAGGCTTCGAAGACTTGAAGTAAAGGTACGTACATCTCCCACGGCCTGGACAGATGTTAATAAGCCTGAAATAGATTTTTCTCTTCTTCATCTTAAAGACACCGCCAATGGTTCATGTAGTGCATTTGGTTTCCCCCACCGTTGGTGCCCGTCTCCCACTCTCCCGCTTCGAGGCCAACGGCTGAATGCCACCAGGCCACCGTTTTGATCGGTGAGCGGAGAGTCGGCAGGGTCAGCTGAGTTGACGCGTATTCGAATTCCAAACCAGCTGAAAGGATAGATGAGTCATGATGAGTCATGATGAGTTTGGAGTTGAACAGCTGAGACCCCTCGCGTGGGCCGGACTGGAAGTCAGTTAGTGTCCCCAGTCGCATGAACTGTCCGGACTTCGATGGGCCATGGGCTTTCTCGCCTGAAACGCGAGCCATCGACCAGGCCACCGGGGAGATCCACTACTTAGGGAAGCAAACGCAGTGCTCCCCGCCTTGGGCGGCAGGGTGAGGGGCGCGGCGGGGTGCCTGGGCGTGGCGTGATGTGGGTCCTCTCCTTGTCGCTGGCGGGTCGTCTGTTGGGTTGTCAAGTTGGACCGAGGCACTGGAGGTGCTCAACTGCTGACATACACTGAAAATGGATTCCATGGACTTGGAAGGGCGGTATCCCAAGCACTTCCAATTGAGGATCCCAAGCACTTCCCGTACTGCAAGAAGCTCGTACTGCAAGGACCATACACTCACTTGCTCAAAGCATGGTGCATTGGAGGCTGTAGGTCTTGAAGATGGTGCATTGAAGATGGTCAACCTGGATCAGGTACAAGATCTCAGCGCTGCCTTTGGACACGGGCAAGCTCTATGTGAAGTTCATGAATGACCAGGTGGCAAGTTTGCGAAGAGAAGAACTCCCAAGAGAAGAACTTACTCAGATTCTGTGGGGTCTCAGAAAGAAGACGCTCAAGACACCTGCTTGTGAGGGTGGAGATCGACTGAAGACCGGTCCGTGTACACCTCATTTGGCGGACTCACATGGACACCAGGATGCATGATTCGTTTCAGGATGACGGGAAGCATAGGTTCTGCTTGTCCCTCCAATTGAACAAAAGAAGAGGAGCACCGAAACGAAGCTCTTGCTCCGCAGGGTCATTGGCTCAAAGCGTTGCGCTGAGGATATGAATTGAACAAGCTCACAACATCGCGAATGGACTCCCAAAAATCCCATGTAGATCCACAAACATCCCCCCCAAAAGTAAACTGAGCAGAAGATGAGATGACATGATGACATGAAAATATACAAAGATCCTTTTCACCTCCTCTCCTTCTCTTTCCTTCTCCTCACCTGTCCGGGAACTCCATCACCGGGCGGGCGGAGGACCGGCGAGCGAGGACGGCGCCATGGTCCAGGTGGCCGCAGCGACGTTTCCGATCCTTGGAGAGATGACTAGGGATGGGCAAGTGGGCACGGGAGCGACGCATGGCCCATTTCCGCGTGGTTTTAAGGTCGCTATTTTTTTTGATATGTTTCTTTGGGTTGGTCTTGAAAAGCTTGATGGACTTGGGTGGGTATTGGATTGGAGTTGATCATCCTTTCCTGATTTTTTTGGATTTTGACAACACAGAGTCAT